ATGCTCTAATCACTGAGTAACCGGTCAGGGGGAATGCTACTTTTTAAAAATCTCTTAAGGGACTGAACATAAACTGTGCACCTATGGATGAGGACAATGGGGGATGGGGAGGGGGTGGAGGGTGGGGTGGGAACCTGGTGGAGGGGGGAAGAAATGAGGAACCTTTGTAATAATATGAATAAAGATTGATTTTTTAAAAAATTTTTTAAAAATCTCTTAAGGAAAGAAACATAGTATTCTATGTCATTGCAGACATTTTAAAGCTGCCACTTATACAAACCAATTTAGGAAAAACAATCCCTAAAACAGCTCCTTAATGTATCACTTTAGCACATAATCAAAAGAATGTCTAACATTTTAGCATTACAATAGTCATTGAAAGAAAATGCAAATCGTTGAAAAAGGCCTGTATTTTTTTGGTGCATTTCCTTAGTTTTGAGCGATTTCATGCTTATGATTTTGTACATTACAAGCTCTTGAACACTTCTTTGATTCCAGCCAAAGCCTTGAACAGTCTGAGTACCTGATAGCGACTATGCCTGTTAGTTGCCTACCCGTAACCCTTCTTCCTTCTCCTTCAGGGATCAGACCCTGAGTAATGTGCCCAGCTGGCCAACTCCCTTTCCCAGAGTTCCTTGCATACGGAGCCAATGCAAAACAGGCACTTACTCTGCCTGTGGAAGGCCTTGGTCTCTCCCCCTCCCACTGTTTCTTACCTGGAACTCCTTCAGGAATTTACCCACTCAGAGAGCCGTAGGGAGACAATGTCTCTTACCGTTTTATTTAGTGGGCATACCTGGCCCCGACTGCTTACTACCCTATTCGTTTTACAAGAGTGAGAGAAAACTGCTCTGTGTAAACCACTACTATGTCAGGCCCTGATGTAGCTGGTGTACAAGAGAAGAGATCTAAAATTCTCAGCCTTCTGCTTCATCTAATCTTGCTTTCTGGCCAATCTACCTTCTACAATCTACCTTCCTTGGATTTTCCCCCCACATATAACCTTCAAATTTCTAATCTCTTCAAAATATGTCTATTTGGATGTTCCACAATTACTTTAAAATCTGAATTTATTTCTCTGATTGTATTGAGATACAATTTCCTTATCTTTAAACAGATTTCTTCAATCAATCAGGTTTAAAACTGTAAAGCAGAGTTATATATATATATATATATATATATATATATATATATATATATATATATATATCTGCCAGCCCAGGAAATGGAACTTTTCATGAGATACCCAGAAGCTTGCCTGAGAATCTCCCATCATTTTAATCCCTTTGTCCCCTGCCCTTTATTTACTCCATCTCCCTGTCCCATGATGTGAACTTTTGACCTCATTTCCTACCATCCCCCTCTCAGAGTCCCTTTACTGTCTGTTGCCCTGAGGCCTTTGCTCTGGCTGTTCCTTCTGCCTGAAACACCCTTCCCAGACCAGCTTTTCAAAGCTGGCCAGCCTAACCAACCTACTGGAAACTGCAGGCCCTCTGCCAGCTTTCAGCATTTCACCTGCTCTTCGGTTTGTCCATCGCACTCACCACAGAACAAGCTCTGTAATTTGCTAAAGGACCGTTTGTCTCTCACTTCACTCCAATGCAAGCACCTCCAGGGATGGCCTTTCTGTTTATGCTCACTGGAGCTGTGCTGGTGAGGAGCTCAGTAGCTATCTGTGGGCTGAGTTCATGATTTACTTAGATAGAGCTCTGATTCCTCCCTTCCTCTTCTCACTGCTCCCCTCCAATACTCACCCTAGAGTTTTTAGATTTTTTTTTTTTTAATCAACAGAGTTTATCTATGCTGTCATTTCCTCCAAACATCTAACACACGTCCAGACTTAATCTTTCTAAAAACACTTCTCTGGGGATGGCACTCGGCTGTCATGATTGGGCTCCTAACAGGCCGTTAGAGATATGATATGCTGGCGACATACTTGAATGAGACATTGAATCGGACAAGCTCGAAGATCCTCTTCAAACAGTTGATTCTACACCCAATGACTTATCTTGGCATCCAAAATGCTCTGTAATCAGCAGCAGCTCCATGTCCATCCTCCGACTTCCAGGTTCCCCTCTGCTCCTAGCCAGCTTGCTTAAGAGCTCTCAAATACGCCATGTTCCCTTTCACCATTTTTTTCCTTCATTGTGTTCCTCTACCTACTTCCAATCCCCTCTTGGCCAGCCTGCCCCGCACAGCCCCTGCGCTTGCCAAGAACGCAGCAGCGCCCAGACCCGCTGGTGTACAACCTGCCTCTCACCGGGTCCCTGGTGATGCCAGTGTGTCTTCAAAGCTCCGCTGTGTGAGCACTCCAGTCTCGCCTCAGTGAAGTGTTTTCTCAGCAAGCCTCGTGCTCCTGTGTCCTGACCTTCCCCGGGACCTACCTCACCCACAGCAAGCACAACGTTCCATTAACCACATCCCCTCGTGGGCTAGTCAGGCCTTGTGTCATGTTAAGTCTTTTCTTCCCAACTTGATGGTAAATAAGTTGCACACAGCATAGTCCTACATCTGGCCAATAGGGATGCAGGGAACAGAAACCCATTGGAGTTACTTCCAGGAAAAAGGAGCCTACCCAAATGCTATTTGAGGAGGGAGGGAAAGAGGGATGGAGAGGTTCCAGGCCTGGCCACACTCTCAGCATCCGTGTCTCTCTGCCCCATTCTCTTCATCCAGTGCATCCTCTCCCCTATCTTCCTGTTCACTCCATTTCTGCTTCTTCCTATGAGCAGCATTTGGGTGACCTATTACTGTCTCCCCTCCCAGCCTGCTCCCCTCTGCCCCTTTCTGCTTCAACGTTCACTCCAAGCCTCTAGGCTTCTATCATTCTATGAGAGAGATATTCACCACAGAGAGTCTTTTGCAGCCAAACCACCAGTTACAAGTGTGGTGTGTGTCCCAGCCATTGATGGGTTGTCTGCCCTTGGGTCCAGAGCTTACCCTGGTCCCATCCTCTGAGACCAAGAGAGCTGCAGTTCAGAACAAGGCCCTTCAGGCAGTGGGAGCGCTCAGAGGAGCATTTTCCTTAGGAAAGAAGCGTGTGGGCAGAGCAGGCAATGAGCCACATCACAGGCCCACAGAGTCATTACTTACGTTGTCCTCACCACAGCCTGGAGGGAAATGCTCAGCACATAATAAACGGAAACTGGCCAACATGGGAGAGGAGGGTCATTCACCAAGTGCCACCAGGCCCCTGGCGCTGTGGGGGCACACAGGGACCACGAAGATTATATAAGAAGCAGCCCCTGTTCCCCCAGAGCTCGTCATTCAAAGGCTCCACTGCACGCACTCCTTGACCTTGTGCAAGTGCCCAACCACCTGGGCCACAGTTTCCTCACCTCCAGGCGTGTTGCAAGGCCCTGGAAGGTAACCTGTATGATCACCTTTGCAACACTCATGTGAATCACAAACAACACTGTGACTTTGCAATCGTCATAAAACCCACAGGGGTTGCCTTGTTTTCGGGTCTTTTCTCTCATTATAGGGAATTATGATTAGGTGAAAGAGCAATCCCAACTGCTACCACTATATGTCCAACACCTGCGTGGCTCACTCACATGGCAATCAGGAAGATCGACTCATGTCACTCAGAAGTATGTTAAGAAAGGAATGAAAACGTTTTTTTACTGTGTACATTTTATAACGCTACCCTCTATTCCACGGTGCATCTAAAAGTGTCTTGTATATTTTTTTTCATTGTATTACACGGAATAGTAAGTATGTACTCAATTCCTATGTAGGACACAGATCCGTTGTGAATTTTGCACGGCTTTCTCCCCAGAGCAGTTTTATTTAGTATTTCCCAAGCAAGGTAAACAGGAAATCACAGACATCGGAGTCCCGTGCTCCCATTTCTAACATGGGGGCCACCAAGGAAGACAAGAGATACCATGGCCTGCCTCAACCTCCTGGAATCCTATCCTAACTTTATTTCCCCCTAAAAAACCACTTTACCACCTGCTTCTCGTTAGAGACGGGTTTGGGGAAAGATGGGAATCAGTGATGAAGACAAGATAAGCTCATTCTCAAAAACATGTCATTCCGCCCTTTGCAGGATCCAGGTACGGGTTCAATGGAAGAGAAAAAACAATAGAAAAAATATGTATGCTCTCGGCTTTGTCGTGAGCCAAACCAAGGAACATTCACGGGCTGCCTCGTGCTAGGCAGGATGCTGAGGGCTCCTGAGACAAGATGGAGAGCGCCTCGGCCCTTGGGCATCTGTTGCTCATGGCTGACAAGTGCATCCATTCAACAGCTGGCCCTGCGTGGAGCAAGAAAACACACTTCCACCTGGCTGAGAAGTCTGTTCAGCTAACCACAGGGCAGGCGTCAGGCAAAAGGAAAAACAGAACAACAAAACAAAACAAAAAACAACCCGAAAGCTCAGCAGGGAGCCCGGCGACTCTCCACTGCAGGAGGCAGGATTGCAGAGACCTGCGCGCACAGTCCCCGCAGAGCACCCAAACCCAATGCAGGCTCCTCCTGCTCAGAGGCGAGGGGCTTGGATCAAAGGCTCCAGCCTGCAGTCCGGGCAAGGCAAACCGGCTTCTGCTCTGAGAGCTGTGCCGTGTGGGGAGCCAAAGGGTGGGCGGCGGGTTCGGGCTCTGTTCGCTCTGGTGGGGAAGCCGAGTGGAGGAGACGCGGAGGTCTGTGAGCGAGTTGGAGAGGGAGGTGGGTTGGGCAGGAACATCGGTGACAGCGACCAAATAAAATGATCCAAATAAAATGATCGCGCAGCCGGTGCAAAGCAAGCCTCGGGGCTCAGGATCTGGGGAGGGGTCCGCAAGTGCATGGGAGACGCCGCAAGAACGGGGAGGGGAGAGGTGGGACAGGCATCTCCATCCACGCACGCGCGCACACGCATACACACACACACACACACACACACATACACACACACACACACACACGCATGCACAGGACCCCAGGCTGGCCCAGAGCCGCCCCCCAACCCCGCACGTTCCGTGCACAGCCCCCATATTGCTGCGGTAGCCACTCACCCTCCGCCCGGGAGCGGATCTCCGACACGGTCCTCCGCATGGTGGACATCGCGGCGACCCCCGCGCAGGTGGGTGCAGCCGGGACCCTGCACCTGTCACCGCGCCGCGCAGGCCGGACTCCGGGCGGAGCCGCCGCGCCGAGCGCTCAGCGGCCGCGCGGGCCCCGCCGCCCGCCCACCCAGCGCCGCGCAGCAGCCGCGGGGCTCGGTCCCCGCACGCCGGCGGCAGGAGCGAGAGGCGACGCGGGTGGCGGCGGCCGCAGAGCCGGGCGGGCGAGCTCTCCCCGCAGGCGTGCGGGGAGCGGAGGGGGGCGGAGGGGCGAGGGGCGGAGCCGGGAGGCCGGCCGGGGCGGGGTCGCCGGGACGCGCGCTCATTGGCTGCGGCGGCGGCTGAGCGAACGAGGCGGGAACGGGACGCGGAGCCCTTGGAGCCCCGCCCCTCTCCGGACCGTACCATCCTCGCGGGGGGAGGTTTGTCAGCTACAGCCTCCCCCTGACCCGGCCATTGCTTCGCCCCGGTCGCGGCTGCGCTCATCCCCGTCCATCTTCCACGCCTTGGTGACTCTCTCAAGTCCTGGCCAGGGGAGAATGGGGGGCTGTGGCTCCTACACCCTGGACTCGCCTCTCCCACACCCCCTGGATATTAGAAGCAATGGAGTCGCCCGTGGTCTGAAAAGTGGGGCTGGATCTGAGTGGGCAGGCGAGGGCCGAGAGGGGCTGGATCGGTGCGGTGTGAAGTCCTGGCGCGCCCACAGGGCAAGGGGGCCGCGAGTTCCCCGCGGGGGTGGGATTCCAACCTCTGCCCGGAGGGACCATCTCAGCCCGAGATGCACTTGCTTCCCTGCCCGGCGCGCGAGCAACAGGCTCCGAGGCCGAGTCCCGCGTTGCTGGTGTGCGCCTGGGGCTGACCCTCGGGTGGGCTGGGCGCAGCCCGCCCAGCACGAGCTCTGCAGCCTGACAAAGCTGTGCATGGCAACAAAACCAGCGATGGAATGAAGCGGTGAAACGAGGACTTGTTCGGGGTTTTTTGCTTTTAGGGAAACTTGCAGGAAGTTGGGTGCAGTGTATTTATTCACTGAAAGAGGAGAGGGGGTCCTAAGTCTAATATCCATAAACATATTAAATGTTATTGTGACCAGTATCCTAGAAATCGTTGTAACCTCAACCTTTTATTTTGTACACAAGTTATCAAAAGAAGAACGGTATGTTTATTTTGTTGCTGGTTTCATCTTTAAGTTAGAAGGTATGGTACTATATAGATCCTGGTGAACTGCTGAAACGGCAGGAAAGGGAATAAATTAAATTAGGAGGTAGTGGCCCTCATCTTGGGCTCTTCCGCTAGCCCTGGATGGAAGAGGGCCCCTATGGAGACCTTTTAAGTGAACTTCTTTCAGATCCTGAAGGGAGAGGTCTGGAGAGGTTTGACCAGAGGAGATAAGTGATTATTCTCTGCCCTCAATAAAAAAAAAAAAAAAAAAAAAAAAAAAAAAAAAAAAAAAAAAAAAAAAAAAAAAAGATAAAATCTGCTAACAGCATCTTATCTCCATTTGTGGTATTTCCTGTGCCTCCTGCAGGTAGCATTTGCTAATCAGAACCCTGTCCTACATTAATCATGAGTCAGACAATCAATGCATATTTATGAAAAACCCACTCTGCCGGGCTCTGACTCAGGGGCTGGGATTAGAACAACAACAGAATAATGTGTTTCCAGTGTTGAGGGAACCTCACAGGGCAGATATAGCAGGGCTCAAGGCAAATGTGTTTGCTTCAGTGATGGCCGTGATGTACAAATAGGTTCTTCTAAAAGTAGGAAATGAGTACACAGCTTTTTTTAGGACTGTCATCCCGGGCGGTTTTTATTCCTTCCAGATCCAGCACCTGCCTGTATCAAGCAGACTTCCTCTGGCTTGATGAATGTGAGTCTGAAACAAAATTCAAAGGGCAAATAGAAAAAAATCAGCTTGAAAAGTCAGGGAATAGAAACTAGAGAAAATGCAGTGCTCTTATGATTAATATTTTAGGTGTAATTTATAGAAAGCCAGAGCCAGTTTTTATTCAAAATCAGTGCACAGTTGCATGGCAGTATTCGATTTATGAGCAATCACTTTTGCAATTTCCCATTGTGCCCTCAAAGGAAGTTCAATTCTGTTATTTACTAGTAATTATTTTTTGAAGGGAGTTCCAGAGATTACCCGTTTTCTATAGAGCAATCTGTTGTCTATATGCCTATGTGTGTGTGTGTCTCGCTGACAACCCATCAGCAAAGGTGACAGCATAGGTCATCCATACAGGAAAGGACAGCAACAGCAGTCTTTCATAAACAGAAGAACGTTGCATGATGTAGCCTGTAGCTTACTGTGCACCTTCTCCCAGATCATTCTGTTACCATATCCATAATGGTAGCAGTGTCCCAACTAACTCATTTATGAAAAACTACTCATTCCTGATTGCTAGAAATCACACATTTTGTTGTTGTTGTTGTTGTTGTTGTTGTTAATCCTCACAGAGACATATCAATTGGTTGCCTCCTGACCAGAATTAGGATCGTACCTGCAACCACGAACATGCCCTTGACTGTGAATCGAACCTGTGACCCTTCTGCGCATGGCCCTACACTCTAATCACTGAACCACATTGGCCAGGCCCACATGCAATTTTATTGGTTCAGAAACCTCATTGACATTGAGTATGGCGCTGATCTGTTTCTATTTAATTTCAAAGTCCCCTCAGATCTCATCTCATTGTTGTAAGAAGCACCCTGTGCCAGCTCCTGGCAGGGAACTCCAGTTCCAGAAACCTGAGCTTGTCATAGAATCTGTAGTACAATTCAGACGTCAGCCAGATCATTTAAAAACTCTCAGGTCCTATGACTCCTCTTGCTGATGGACTTAGGCGGAAGAGGGCTATTCAGTGACAGCTTCTCCCAGGACCGGGATTTATCATTGTCTACAAAATACACCCTGAATGCATTGCATATGTGAGGTGCTGTGCCGGGGGGGTTAGGTTACAAAGACACCTAACGCACCTGTGAAAGTGAACCAGCAATGGAACTGGATGGCCGGCGCTCAATGCCCAATGGATAAGCAGCAATGATTATAAACAATGAGAGGAGGGGCAATCCAACAACTGGGTGATCAACATAGTTGACCTAGGTCTTCAAGTAGGGGTTAGGGCTGTAGATATGAACCATTGACGGTTCCAGATAGGAATGCTTGGTATATATTATGTACTCGATCATAGTTTAACAAACATTTAAGGTAAATGAAAGGATAAAAAAGCATATATGTTTGTGGAGGACAAAGAGACCGACTTGACTGCAACAAAGATGATTTGTACCCTTCACATGGGTGAATTGTATGTTACGTGAATTGTACCTTAAAGCTGTTTAGGAAAAAGATCTCCAGAGGAGTCAGGCACAAAATTATCAAGTCCAGAATGTGAAAAAGAGATGGCAGGGGTATGCCTATCCTGCTGGATTTTCACCTGATGTTGCCTGAGTCCGTTTTTGTTTGGGGCCACCAAGGATTACCAGTAAGAATTGGTGTCTTTGGGTAGGAACTCATAGGCAAGTAGGCGAGAGGGGCATGCTCACTAAGTCACTAACTGATAATATAGACAGAAGTCCTTTGGAAACATGTGGTCTGGGCTATAGAGACGTGAGACATGCCTGAGAGCCCTGCTTCTGACTGAGACTGCGGCTCGGAAAGTTGATTACCACACCAGTATAAAAACATGCTGAGCCGTGCCGGCCACGAGAGCTTCAATTCTTTTGCAGAAGCACAGTAAAATTAGATCAATTAATCTTGAATTTTATTTTTATTTTAAAAAAAATATATTTTATTGATTTTGTACAGAGAGGAAGGGAGATAGAGAGTCAGAAACATTGATGAGAGAGAGTCATCGATCAGGTGCCTCTTGCACACCCCCTACCGGGGATATGCCCGCAACCAAGGTACATGCCCTTGACCGGAATCGAACCCGGATCCTTCAGTCCCCAAGCCAAGGCTCTATCCACTGAGCCAAACCGGTTTCGGCTAATCTTGAATTTTAGATCATGAAATCTTTTAGTTTAAAGTTGAGGTGAAACTATAACATAAAATTCCATCAGATCACCAAGCTATCTGGTGACTGTAAGAAAAGGTTCTTACTACCTTCGGTGCATAGTTGGTGTTATATTGATTCAATGGATTAGTGTATTGTTGAGGTATCTTACCTAGTAATAGACAACCATGTAAATTGACCTAACCTATGCTATGCCACCAGCCAATAAGAAGTGATATGCAAATTAACCCAACAAAGATGGGAGTTAATTTGCATACTCAACAGGAGTGGGGATGAAGGCCTTCTGCCCCACCCCCAGACTCTCTGGGCCTCTGAAGAGGCAGGAGCAGAAAGAGGTGGCTTCTGGGCCTGAGTGGAAAGGGGCTGGGGTGGAGTGAAAAGATAGTGCAGGCAGCCAGGGAAAGGAAAGCCCATTCTAGCATGGATCTTCGTGCATCGGGCTTCTAGTATTATTATACTTGTAAGGTTTCCTTTCTGTCACCATTCTTTGCATGTGTTCCCCTCAAAGACATCAGCAAGTTCTTTAGACTCTGTTTCCATAGTATATCTTAAATCTCTTCATCTCCACCCGTACCCCTCTTGTACAAGCCCCATCACCACTCACCTGCAATAGCCTCTTAACTGATTGCTTTTATTCTATTCACATTACAGGAGCCATAGTTACTATTTGAAAACACAAATCCATTTATGTTCCTTCTTTTTTTAAAAAATGTTCTTTATTGTTCAAAGCATTACAGTTATCCTCCAGCCTGTACCCATCCCTCCCAGGCCTTCACCACACTATTGTCTGTGTCCCTGAGCCATGCATATATGCATACGAATTCTTTGGTTAATCCATCGCCCCTACCCATACCTTCCCTCTGAGCTCCATCAGTGTGTTCCATGCTTCTGTATCTCTGGATCTATTTTGTTCATCAGTTTATTTTGTTCGTTAGATTCCACATATGAGTGAGATCGTGTGATACTTGTCTTTCTCTGACTGGCTTAT